AGTCAGTTCTCTCTTTCTACCATGTGGGTTTCAGGAGTCAAACTCAGGTTGTCAGGCTCGGTGGAAGGAGCTGCTGCTTGCTGAGTCATATCACCAGCCCTCAGAAACCATTTTAAAAGAGAAGGAATTAAGCAGACAGTGTGGAGTCCTCTAGAAATGTGAAAGATTATAATATATATGAAGGTAAAGGCCTGTAGACTAGATGATTAAGGGGCTTTGGTAACTCAGGGAAACTACATGAAGATGAATCACGAGAGTGTTTATATATTTCGCTTTGAGATTGGGCTACAGAGTGCTTCAGACTAGCCAGAGCTGCATAGTGAGATCTTGTCAGAAAAAATAAAATAAAATAAAAGCAGAAAACAAATGAATATCTGAATTTTGATCACATTTCCTCCTTGATTTTTATTCTTTTTATAAAAATTATCCTTTCCAAGGAAATTCTTTTCTTTAACTTTTTAAAACGGAATTTTTGTGAATTTCATGCAATATAATTTGTGTTTAGCTCTCCTCCCCTTATTACACTCTACACAATTTCATGTACTCTAATATGTATTATATACATATTAGTATATTAAGGCCTATGCAGTAAAAATTCTGTGCACAAGTCTCACCTAAGCTTAAGTCAGACAGAATCCCAGCATAGACGTTGGGACGTTAGTAAGAAACTCCAACTGCACCTAAGGAACTTTTGGCAATGGATGGCTGCTGGGAGGGGGATAATCAGTCTTATTTAAGGGTGAGACTCTTGGTAGGTTACCAGGCTCCAGTGAATGGACCCAAGAAAATCATTTAATCAAAAAGTTGGCAGTCTGTCAAGTTAGCTAATCTTTTCTCTAACAACCAAGTATATGCAATTGGCTTTAAACTGCTTTCACTTTGCTGACTATAATAAAACAGAATTGCGTCCATTGCAACTGAAATCTTATAATATAATTTTGTATCAATTTATTGAATGTCAGGTAAGAGTTACTGCTTTGATTTCTGTTTCTCTGAATGGATATTATTCCTATCATCCAGTTACCTCTGCTGGGGTGAAAAAATGTCGTCTGAGCTATTTCCATTATTATATCATCCACAGTATGCTCACTCTCAATCCACCACCACGGCCACCCTCTGTTCATCTCCAAGTGCTGTTATTGTAAGAACCCTAATTCTTCAACAGCACATATTTCTGTCACATTCTATTTGAAAATTTTTAGTCCCAGATAAAATCCATTATTGTCTTTCCATAAGTATACTTAAGTATATATTAAATATTTATGTGTCTTTTCACACATGTACACACACACACACACACACACACACAACTGACTAGTTTACAAATGCATTCCATCAAACTCCAACTACCTGAAGTAATGGGAATTGAACTTAGGGCCTTCTAAATGATAGGTAAACGTGGGTTCGCTGAGCTACACCTCCAGCCATTTATATTTTATTTTTCATTTTGAGACATACTAACTATATTGCCTACAGGCATGAGCTCTACTCTTGTTTTTGACTTTTGAGATAGAGTCTTCCTATGTAGCCTAAGGTCAACTGATGGCAATCCTCCTGCTTCAACCTCCTTGGTTCTAGGATTATAGGTGTGAGCCACCACACTGGGTTTTGTATTTTGTATTTGAATAAAGCAATTTTGAGTATATGCCTATAACCCTAGGAGGATTGCCCTGAGTTTGAGACTAAGCTGGGCTACATATTGAATTTCATGCCAACCCATTATACAGGGTGAGATCCTGTCTCAAAAGTAAAACAGGACCTGGGGAAATATTCAGTGGGTAAGAGCATTTGCTGTGCAATCATGGGCATGGCTTTGTGCATGCCTGCAACTCCAGTGCCATAAGGGATGGAGACAGGAGGATTACTCATGCTTGAAGACTGCCAGTCTAGCTCAGGGTCTAGTGAGAGGCACTTCCTCAAGGCAATAAGGCAGAGAGTGATAGAGGACACCCCAAATCTTCCTCTGGCACACCTGCAGACATGTGCACATACACCACACACACACACACACACATATGCCACACATGATATACTTATGTATACAAACAACCATCTCCAAAATACATAAACACAATACATATGACATTAGGGGCAACCTGGTCAAATGGAATCATCCTCCATTGGGTACTTAAATTCTTTTGGATCATTAGGGGCAACCTGGTCAAATGGAATCATCCTCCATTGGGTACTTAAATTTTTTTGGATTTTTTTGTCTTGCACACACACACACACACACACATATGCCACACATGATATACTTATGTATACAAACAACCATCTCCAAAATACATAAACACAATACATATGACATTAGGGGCAACCTGGTCAAATGGAATCATCCTCCATTGGGTACTTAAATTCTTTTGGATTTTTTTAAAAAAATTATTTATTATTTTTATTTTATATGTGTGAGTGTATTGCCTGCATGTACGTAAGTGCACCTGTGTCATGCAATGCCTGCAGAGGTCAGAAGAGGCTGTCAAATCCCATGGGCCTGGAGTTACAGACAGTTGTTAGTCGCCATGTGGGTGCTGGAATTCGAACCTGAGTGTTCTTAACCACTGAGCTATCTCTCCAGTCCTGGATTTATTTGCTTTTATGTTATGTATATGAGTGTTTCATGTGTATGTTTGTAAGCACACTACATGCATGTAATGCTTGCAGAGGCCAGAAGAGGGTGTTGGGTTCCCTGGAATTATGGATGGTTGTTAGCTGCCATGTGGGTGCTGAGAACCAAACCCAAGTCCTCTGCATGAATAACCAGTTCTCTTAAACACTGAGCCAACACTCCAGCCCCTCCATTTGGCATTTTATGGCACTGCCAAATGACCTTTTAGAGATCCCACCAGGGAGAGTTCTTGGAGTTAGGTGAGATTTGCTGTACATCATCTACATGGTTCTGGTTGAACCTACGTTAAGATGAAATTAAACAGTGTTTGGCCTTGAAAGTACTTGATCACAGTTAAATTCTTGATAAGCTACCAAGGCCTAGAGCCATCCCTGGACCTGATTTCCTAAGAGTATACTGAAGCCGAACCTTCGCCTGGCTCTTTGAGTGGGGACAGGAAAGCTCTTATTGCTCACATGTAGAAACCATGAAACTATGGTCCATGAAATCATGAGAAAATCATAAAGGACTCTATCAGAAATGAAAATTGCGAGTATACGTTTCAAAATATGACGTTTTGGGATAAGCCATGAAACACAATTAAGCAAGCTTCACAAGCTCACTAAGTAGAAACATTCACAGATGAAAGGATTGTAAATCAATTTGATCAGAGTTAGGAAGGAGGAGAGGATGAAAGGGACATCATTTGGGCAGGGTTATTCTTTGAACTAGGGAAACGATTATTTTTGTACTCAAAACATCTTTCACATTTTATGTACTCAAAATATCTTTATTTTTTTATGTGCTCAAACTATATTTTTTTATGTCAGAGAAATGATTTTGAAGACCATTATTTCAATTTTGGGTCAAAAGGAACGGGCCCATTTACATGTAGAGTCCTTCAGAAAAGACATAGCTTATAATATATTTGAGTTATAAAAATCAAGTAAAGTAACCAGGCATTGTGGGGCATGCCTTTAACCATAGCACTTGAGAGGCAGAGGTAGTTGGAGGCCAATCTGGTCTATGTGACGAGTTCCAGGCCAGCTGGGTCTACAGGGAGGATCTGTCTCAAAAAATTAAATAAAGTTAAATATCCATACTTAAATTTTTGGCGTATGCAGGGACTTTACCCTGGAAATATGTCTAAAATCTTACTAAAGGTGTCACAAGAATGTTGTTTTCCCACAACCTTGCCTGTACAGTGTAGTAGCACAGTTTTGATCTTTGGTGATTAGAGAGACAAAACTTCTTTCTTTTGTTATTGTTTGTTTGTTTGCTTGTTTTTGAGACATGAGCTCACCACTGGCATGGAGCTCACTGTGTTGCTCAGGCTGGCCTTGAAGGCCAGGTGAGACTCTAACCTCAGCCTATCATATGTGAGGATTACAAGTGTGAGGCAACTGACTAGGATATTGGGTTCAGAGGAATTTTGTTGCAGTTGTTGTTTTCTTTTAAATTTTATTTAAAAATATTTTATTTATTTTTATGTTATGTATATGAATGTATTACTTGCATGTATGCAAGTGTACCCATGTTGTGCAATGCCCACAGAGGCCAGAAGAGGGTGTCGGATTCCCCTGGAACTGGGGTTAAGAACTGTTGTTAAGCCACTATGTGGGTGCTGAGAATCGAACCCAGGTCCTCTGCAAGAACAGCCAATACTATTAACCACAGAACCATCTTTCCAGCCTCTATTTTTGTGTTATGTATATGGGTGTTTTGCCTGAAGGTATGTAAGTATACCATGTCTGTGCAATGCACATGGAGGCCAGAAGAAGGCATCCCCTGAAACTGTAGCTATGTACAGTTGTTAGATGTCATGTGGGTGCTGGGAACCAAACCTGGATTCTCTGTAAGAGCAGCTAGTGTTCTAAACAGCTGAGCCATATTATATCTCCAGTCCAAGACTTTTTTTTAAAGACTCAGTCTCACTATGTAGCCCATGCTGGTCTCAAGGTTTTGGCAATCCTTCAGCCTCAGCCTTCCAGATACTGGGACTGCAGATATGAGCTACTACACCCAACTAAAGTTCTAGATAATGAGAAATAATGCTCCTTAAAATCATAGATTAATGATGAGACAATTATTTTTAAAGTAATACATGACTGTGGCTCTCAGTTGGAAGGGAGTTACCAGATACTTTATTATTATAATGTGCAGCCATCAACTTTTTTTTTTTTAACAAGAGACAGTTCCACAGATAGGTTTCATTTTTCAAAAAAGGGGAAGAAACACCATTCTGTGGCCTGATGAGGCTTTGTCAGTTACTACCTCCCCATTTCCTGGGACTTCCCACTCCTTCTTTAGCACAAATTAGTCTTAAGCGAAACAACTCTTTTTCCATAGGATCAGTTAAATAAAAAAGGGCAATGCAACCAGCAGCGTAGTATTCTAAGGGTCTTGTCAGTGAGACACTCGAGAACTTTTTGGAAACAGCTCTGGCTGGCTCACTCATCTCTGTTGGGTTCATCATCGTGTTTCTGCAGGATCAAAGAAGTGGACTGTTTGGTGAAGGTAAGAAAAAGGAGGCAAGGAGTCCTACAAATCTGTTGCCATTTCTCCTTTTTCTTCTTATACTTTCTTAGCCCTTTGTCATGAGAATCTGCCCTATTCTTTATGACATCTGAAAGGCCTTCTAGCTTACTAAATCAGAGGTGACTGGGAATTGAGCAAACAATGGAGTTGAAAAGTTGGATAATAAAGAAATATTAAGCCAAACACTTCCTTCTCTGACATCCTCATGTCATTTTGGTCATTTGTAAAATGGTGTTCTCCCCCCACCCCCAGTACTTGGCATTGAACTCAGGGTCTTGCACATGCTAGGCAAATACTCTACCCCTAGCCGGCATTTTAGATTTCTTTTTGAGAAAGGAGCTCACTAAAGGCTGGCCTTGTAATCAATCTGCAAGCCAGTCAGACTTTGAGTTTTCCTCCCTGTTGTTTGAATTTTTCAGCCTTCTGGGAAACTGGCATTATAGGCGTATGCAACTAGGCTATCTTAAAATTTTCTTTTTTATTTAATTTATTTTTTTGAGACAAGATCTCTCTCTATAACCTCAGCTGTCCTTAAAATAGCAGCAATCTTTCTGCCTCAGCCTCCTGACTACTAGGATTTCAGGCATGAGTCACCACATCTGCTGGGTAACAAAGTTTTAAGGTACTTGTCTATTTAGAACCATGGAACTTTATTTGTAGCCAAGATTTTATTTGCAAAGTCTGGTGTATGTGTAGAACACACTGAAAAGTTTGATAAATGCAATCTGCTCTGCGAAATGACCCTACAGTCTGATTGTTTATTTATTTCTTTGTTTCTGAGGTAGGGTTTCATTATGTAGCCTTAATTGGCCTAGTACTCATGATATAGATCCAGCTGGCATTGAACTTGTGATAGTTGTGTAGCCTTACTCAGCCTTTTATGTGGTGGAATTATAGGTGTGTCACCAGGTCTAGCATACAATATTCTTTAAAAAAAAACAAACCCTGAAATCTTTGACTAGTTTGATCAAATTCATTTAGTTTTACTAATTAATTTTTAAAACTTTTTTGGAGCGCAAGGACTATTTTATTAGAATTTAAAAGAATAACTCCAGGATACGGAAGATGCGTATTTCAGCAGCTGCCCAAAGGAGGAAGATGGGGAGGAGGAGGAAGAGAGAAAGACTTGCCATTTGAGTTAAGCCCTCATGTTCTGAAGCATGCTTAGAAAAAAAGGCAGAAAGATGAAAAAGGAAAAGTTATGCTTTTCTCATTAATTCAGAAAAGCTAGCCGTCTTAACCCAGCTGCATGGCTATGGCTCTTATTTTTTGAAATTGACTTTCCCTCTGTAGTCCAGGCTGGCTTTTAACTCATGATAGTCTTACTTTAGTTTCTCACCTGCTGGGATTATAGGCATGTACCACACAGCCTGATTCTGTTAATAAAGTCACGCACGCACGCGAGCGTGTGTGTGTGTGTGTGTGCGCGTGTGTGTGTGTGTGCGTGTGCGTGTGTGTGTGTTTGAGACAAGGTCTAATTATGTAACCCCGGATGGTCTAGATATACTATATATCTCAGGATGGGCTCAAACGTGCAGTAATCCTCTGCCTCAGCCTCCTCAGTCATGGGATTAAAAGTGTGCACTTCAATGCCCAGCCTTCCATTGCTTTGTTACATCTTTTATTCAGTCCTGTTTCAGCAATTGCCACACCGTTTAGCTTCTGCATTTTAACAAGAAGGCCTAACAACTTAAGCAGAATTTTCAGGGACACCATAGCTGTTGAATTCAGTTATGCTGATGACATTTCGAGAACAAAATCAGTTACATCCCCATTGAATCTGAGTCCTATTTGTTTAGTGAGCTTGTGATGGTGCTGTTTTATGTGGCAGAATATATTAAAAATGGATATGATTTAGAGTGCTATTGCTTTTCAAACTTATCTGGGTGATTTTGGGGGAAAGCCTGCTTTTTTTGTATTAAAGATAGGGAACACATGGGTGAACTTTTGTTTGAATCAGTCTTAGGCCCACTCAAAGGATATTTCTTTTGTGCTATGTGTCAGTGCTTGAATATATACGGGTTGTTCGGCATACTCATATTGATATTTTTCTAGCATTTCTTGCATGAGCCAGTCCAAAGTAACTGTTTCAGAGCTTTTGAATCTTTTTTTGTAGGTGAGAAGATTATTTAAAATCTGTTAAATATCCTTATCACAGCAGCAATGATTTTTCTGTTTGGTTTTATGAGACAGGACCCCATTAAGTACAGGATGATCCCAAACTCCTTATAGAGTTGAAGCCAGTCTTGAACTCCTGATCTTCCTACCTCTACGTTTCAAATGCTGGAATTACAGACATACACTACGGTACCCAGACTGATAACTTGGTTTTACAAAAGGAAAACAGTTGCTGTTATGATATGGATACTTTGCAGATTTCTGCTACTCTTCACAACTACAAACACTTCTCAAGTTCAAAAGCAGTAGTCTATTAGCTATTCTCTTGAGACAATAGTACAAGGAACACCATATTTTCAACATGTACATTAATCAGGTGTATTATTTTGCCATATTTACTTCCTCTTTCTGTCTCTTCTTTTTTTCTGAAACATTTGAGAGTACATTGGTGGCTTCAGTGTATTTGTCACCCTAAATTAATTGAGTATATGTTTCCAAAGAATGAGAACAGCCTTTTATTTTATGTAATGATAATATAATTATTGTAATAAAAACTAAGATCAAGTCAAGTGTGGTAGCTCATATCTGTAAGGCCAGCACTTGGAAGCTGAGGAAGATTGACATGTGGTCAAGGCCAGCCTGAGCTATGCAGTGAGTTTCAGAAAAAGAAATTTGAATTTCTCTTTCTTTTGGTCTTTTTGAGATAGGGTCTCCCTGTAGCCTCAGCTGTCCTGAAGCTCACTATGTAGACCAGCCTCGCCTCGAACTCACAGTGATCCACCTGCCTCTGCCTCCCAAGTGCTGGGATTAAAGGTGTATACCACCACACCTGGTAAGAAATTTGAATTTCTAAACTAGAAAATTTGTTCCTTATTTTTAATGTCTTTTGTGAAAAAATATTAAAAGTACTGTTAAAAAATGGTCATAAGTTTTGATTTTTCCAATTTATGAGATGTCAAGAAATAGAATATAGAGAAAAATCTGAATTATGGCAAAATATATTTACTAATACTTCTGCACCAAGTTTTTATATATTCTGAAATGAAGAGTTTTACTGCCAGATGCACATATTACCTTTGCACACAAGAATCCCAGCAGAACAAAACACAGAATTATTTATTTACTTAGTAAAATTGGTGTGGAAAAAATTGATATATTTATTTGTTTTTGAGGCAATATTTTCCTATGTGGTCCAGGTTGATTTTGAACTTGGGAGTGGTCCTGCTGCCTCATTGCTGGGAATAGAAGTACATACTATTACACACAGTGTATGACCTTGTCTCAAAAAAAGAAAATCAAATTTATATTGCAGAAGAATAGTTAATCACAAATGATATTTTGTAACAGGAACTGAAATATGGATGAGTGAGGGAAATGAAAATTAAGACTGAATTGAGATTCCATCTAATCCTTGTCAGAAAGGTTATCATCAAAACCACAAATGTCAGGAAATGCTGGTGAGAATGTGGGGAAAGAACACACACTGCTCACAGGAATATAAACTGGTGAATCCACTGCGGAAGTCAGTGTGAAGGTTCCTCAAATAACAACAACAACAAAAAGTAGAATTCAGGCGCATTGGTTCATGCCTGTAATCCTAGCACTTGGGAGGCCAAGGCAGGAGGCTCACCATGGGTTAGAGGCTAGCCTGGGCTACAGAGTAAGACCCTGTGTCAAACAAAACAAAACAAATAAAAACAACTAAAAATAGAGCTAGTATATGACTCAGCTATACTGTTCCGGGGTATAAACCTCAGGGACTGTAAGTGAGCATACTACAGAAAGACTTGCACATCCCTGTGGGGTCGCTCCCTCTCCTCGTGGGTCGTTGGCCACCGGTCCATGAGGACAAAGGGAGCAAAAGCGACGAGCGGGGTCAGGACAGCCAGTGAGCACTGTTGGAAGAAAGCCCTTCCAGGGAGGCAGGTTCAATGATGCAAACAGCTCCAGACTCAGTGAAACAGCTCCGTTTATTCAGTGGGGGTTATGGAAAATATAGTGTGGAGGCAGTAGCCAATGCTTCAGCTGATAGGTGCTCATAGTATGCTTTATTTACATGTGGCAGTAGGCTCCTATCATCCGACTACTGAACAATGCCTAATTATCATATAGAAAAAACCTGGGGGTAGTTTTTAATCCAGGTAACTATGCCAAAGGTCATGTTCCAAATAAGGTCAGGCATCCGTGCTTGGCGGCACTTTCCAGGTAAGTCAGAAAGAGAGCAGGAGGCCCCCTGCTGAGAAGGGGAGTCCTTTCATATGGTGCCGAGCCCCTTAGAGCTATCCGGACATGGAAGACTACAACCCTAGCAGCAGGGTTCCCCAACACATTCCTATTTACTGCTGTATTAGTCACGATAGTGAAGAAACAGAACCAGCCTAATGTCCATCAACAGATGAATGGAGAAAGAAAATAAAGCAGTTGTAAGAAGAATGAGATCATGGTATTTGCAGAGATCAGTGGTAGTAGATACTGCTAAATAACATTGAAGTAAACAAAATTCGTCAAACTCAGGAAGAAAGGCCAAACTTTCCCTTATATGTAGAATCTAGACTTGTGTGCACATATGTGAATTTGTGTGTGTGTGTGTGTGTGTGTGTGTGTGTGTGTGTGAGAGAGAGAGAGAGAGAGAGAGAGAGAGAGAGAGGACCATGAGAAGGGAAGATCTTAAGAGGGACAGGGTGGAGGAAAGGGGGAGGTAACGGAATCCATATTTCATTAAAGCAGAAGGGGTAACTATTTTCTAAGAGAGGAACAGGATCAGCAAGGGGGGTGCAGAAGGGATGGAGGAAGACTGTAGAGGAAAGGGATGAATAAGAACAAAGTGAATTACATATATGTACAAAGATGTGATAAGAAAC